CATACAGTGTGCTATGGGGGAAATTTATCCCGGATAGCGGCACTACGGCCTACTTTCATATAGAATTCCAATGTGTACACGGGACCTCGTTTTTTCGTCCCATCCGAATGACTAGACAGCTGTGCTTGTCAGGCCCTCTGTCCTGCATTACTGACAAGGGGAAACCACGCCGGAAAATCTGGATGAACATTCTCGGCCAATGCAGGGATCGAAAACCGACTTCCAGCATAGCGAGCCAGCGTCTTTCATCTATTTCAATCTAATATAGAACAAATCTACTTTGTTTAAGAAATAACTTTAGATATGAAATAAGCCTAAAGGGTAATTGTCATACTTAGAAATCACAATAAAAAAACTCAATCCTAAATATAACATCTAAAGTTACTAAATTAAATACCCTTAAAGTTGATATAACTGACAACTTAAATCCTTTATGAAAATATCTCTCTAGAATAGCAGACGAATTGCCGTCTGCAAGCATTCGACCCATCTTTTAACCCCTAACATAAACACCCAATGTTTGTCAGTGATACAAGCCCCTACTATCCAGCTCTTTCTAAACTATACAAATCATATTAGTCTTGCTCATCCAGTCATCTCAAAAAATTAACATGGAAATTGGTTATTGTAAACCTTTTCACAAGATATTCTCAGCCAACTCTGAATTATAAACAATTTTCTTGCTTACATTATCTTTATTTGCTATTGAAGTCACCAAATATAGTAAGTTTTGAAACATTAAGAGCCATATTTTAAAATTTGAAGCATATTTTCAGATAGACACTATGTACTCAACAGCCAAAAAACTCTACACTCCAAAATCCCACTGCCAACCTGTTTAATTAGAAAATATCTGCAAATTATTTATTTAATGTAATTCTTTTTCTCTATATAATCTTCATTTAGACGTAAAGTCATCAAATATTGCAATAATTGAAACATTGAAATTTATAATTAGTATTTAAAACCAGATTTTCTTATTGACACTAAATGTACTTAAAATCTGTATCGCTCTATTGTATATAGGTGTGCAAGATACAGGCAATGATTTTATTTGTATATATTATATTTTACTTTTTAATCTTTTATACATACTCAACTCTTATCCTATACATATTATAAATAATCAAAAATACCTGTTTTTATTATTGTATATTACTGTATTTTACTTTGCCTGTGTGTCTTATATAGTAACAGTGAAAAAGTAAAAAATAAATTAAAGGTGTGGAAATTATAAAATACTATAAATATTATAATGTATAATTATATTCTGTGAATAAATATATTACAAGCTAAAATAAATATTAATAAATCATGTATTATATACCTGACTGATATCATTACAATATCATTAGACCTCTACTACTAATCAATCAAATTATATGTTATGATACCTCGTTTAGTCATAAAATACTATATTACTCGTCTTATGATAGCAGGTGTTTTAATGTTGATTCATTTCACTTGAATAGAAGTTCATTATACCCATTATAAATAATTACATCACTAGTACATTATAGCTTAGATTAACATTTGTTACAATTGTGATTCATTCCACATGGGAGCCACATTGGATCAGTGAGTAAGACATTAACTCGCTAACCTGGAGGCCCCGTGTTTGACCAATGCGTTGATCGAGAAAGTCCGTCCATGTCAGTGGTGTAAGACGGAGGGCCTAGCAATGGACACCGTAAAGTCTTATGGATGGGACGAAAAACCGAGGTGAGGTTCCGCGAACACAGTGGCGTGTACGTAAAAGAACCCTTGACAGTTGGAATTGGAAATAAGAGTAGGCTGTAGAGTCACTGTCCGTGCAAAATTTCCCTCATAGCACACTGTATGGCGTATGTCAGATATATAATACATGATTTATTAATATTTATTTTAGCTTGTAATATATTTAGTATACTAATGAGAACAATTTTGCCCGGACAGCGGCGTTCATCGAATGTATTTTACGTGCACGCCGATGTATGAATTGAAAAGTAGTGTGGTAGTAAGCACCGTGATGTTAAGGGTATATCTATTTTTTCTACCTAAACTTCATCTCCGCAAACACGTTCAATCTAGAAAAGTCTACAAACTGTTACTTTAATGAAGTGTGTTGAGAGATCCGGCTCCTACTTGACAAATACGTAAGACGATATGAACATCAATACATACGATATATAACGTGATTTAACTGACAGATGATATATATGCAACATAGATAATAATCTTCATTCAAGTTAAACCAACTGTATCTATTTATTGTTAAGTCTTACGCCAAGCTGAATAAACTATATGATTTATTGTCATTAACAAATCATTGTGTGGTTAACAGTGTCTAATTAAAAACTATAATTATATTAATTTATTTAAGGTGACAAACGGTTGCACATACCCTCCAAGTAGCACAATAAACCCTAAAATCAATAACGTAACATTCTGGAATTACAATAATCAGTAGGGGAGATTATAATCTATTGTTTAATACTGTGATTATATTCAAGACAATAAATCATATTCTAAACCACAAACAAGCCATAGCACGAAATACCTTCTAGTGCCAACATTTTAATGTATCTAGAATTTTCTACATCTAGTCTACTGCATCCAGATTTTTAAAGCGCGTTAACAATATGTCATTTTGGGATTAACATATCGTGCAATTCATATTCATTTGACAATCGGACTAAAAATGTTGATTAACTTAAAATCGACCGTTTTATAATGCTGTCATTTTGGGTTTCGAAATTTACATATAGCTTTAAATTAATGGTCTGACTATTTATTTGATTCGTTCAAACCAGTGATGTGTTAAGATAGATATAGAATATGTTAATACAGCCGTCGTAATGCTAGGCCCTACTCGATAAGTCTCGATCCTTCGTCTCGTATGATCTTAATACGAATTCTAGATATCATGTTAGGTATCACTGAAACGCACGTTCATTTCTATTTCAAATATTTAAATAATTTTCTGGCACATTTATATTTACATACTTTGAAAAAATGAAATGAAATGGTGTTTAAGGTCCTACTGTTCCAGTCCGACCGGGATAATGAAGACGGGCATACAGTGTGCTAAAAGGGAATGTTTGCCCGGGCTGCGACACTATGGCCTACTCTTATATCGAATTCCAACTGCAAAAGGATCTTTTACGTACACGACAATGTGTACACCCGAATGATTAGACAGTTTTCCTTGTCAGGCCCTGGTCCTGCAACCACTGACAAGGCGAAAGCACGAAGGAAAATCACCGACATACTTTCTCGGCCAGTGTAGGGATCGAACACGCGACATACAGGATAGCGAGCCAGCGTCTCGCCCACTTAGCTGCCCTGGCTCCTTACTTTGAAAAAAAGATAAAAAAAAATCTAATCTGTATCTTTTAACAACGGACGTGACAATGAATAGGGTCCGTCGGATACACCACTGGCAAATAAGAATGTACGTTTCCAACGTCTTCCAAAGTCCTACTCAATGAGCCAACGTGGCTCCAGAACAGTGTATAGTCTAAAAAACGAGGACATTGTGCATGTAAAAGAATCCACCACTATTGGAATTGGTTAAGAGCAGATGGTATCGCCGCCTGTCTGACAAAGCTGCCCCCCCCCCCCCCACATAGCACACATCGATGGTCTTGGGTGGCCGAATTGTTAGCGCGTGTGCGTTGTATCATAAGGTCAACTAGTGTAGTTTCGATTCCCCGGCTGTTCGTGACAAGGAATAGGATCGCCTGTCCAACCTCGTTGATTTTCTATGGTTCCTCCGGTTTCCTCCCACTGCTAAAGAGCTCTACGCGCAAGCGAATTATTGAAATAAGATTGAACCATGTTAGTCCCGAATAACTTGGTTTGTGTCGAGTGGTCGTTAAACACACTCTCTATCTTCCCCCTCTCTCTATCTCTCTCCATCTCTCTCTCTCTCCCTCCATATCTCCCTCTCTCTCTCTCTCTCTCCCTCTCTCTTTCTATCTCTCTCCCTCTCTCTATCTCTCTCTCCCTCTATCTCTCTCTCCCTCTATCTCTCTCTCTCCCTCTAATGTATCTTTAACTATTCCCCAGATTAACAAAGGACTCCACGAACGAGGCTAGACATATTCCACAAGTCATATCAAACGGCGACCCATATTCTTATCTGGAGAGCATGCGCCATAAATACTATGTAGACTGGAATAACCAGACACTAGAGATTGCCATTCAATTGAGACTTCCCCGAACAGAACTGATTTGAAATTAGAGTCTCGGTTATTCATTTTTGCATTTAATTAGTTTTCAAAAATTGTATCCCAATCCGCTAAATATCGCAGGCTAGCGATGATATCGAGAGTTGATTATGGTCTGGACAAGTTAATTAATGTCTAATTAATAATTTATATAACATTTCAGGCCTAAAGAAAGACATGCAATAATCCGATTTAGCTCTTGTATAATGTCTGTTTAAGCCACGTTGATATATACCCAGATTCGTTATTTGACACATAATTAAGAAAACAAAATCATAATACAAACGCTGGATAATCTCCCTGACTGGATTCAGTCGGATTTAAAACGGGTTTGTCATTAAATTGTCGCGACAACAAAATGGCCGCAGGCGTACTTCATAGCGAGTAACATAGATCGATGGAATTTCTATATTGTATATATCTTTGTAAATATTGGGCAAAATTGAACCAACTTATAACTTATATTACAATTAGATATTTGTCTTCCACCAGCGAGCCACGGTGGCTGAGTGGGTAAGACGTTGACTCACTGACCTGGTGGTCCCGTGTTCTATCTCTGTGTTGACAGAGAAAGTACCCCAATGTAGTTCCTCCTTGTCAGTGGTACAGGACTGCAGACCTGACAAGGGACAACGTATACTGGCTCGGGTGGGACGAAAAGCCGAGGTTCCATATGTATGTGGCGTGCACGTTAACGATCCCATGATAGTAAGCCGTAGCGCCACTGTCCGGTCTAAATGTCCCTCATAGCACACTGGTAATGAATCTGGATTATCTATTTTAGGTAGCGTAACATAATTAAACCTGTTGCTTAAAGAAACGGCAGTAGCACCTGAATTAAATGGAGGTATGGTCTTAATCATCTAAATTTAACATAAATTTCACATTTAATTTGAAATCATTGAAGTAACTTTCTACAGAAAATACAATTGATGATCTATGTTCCTCTGATTTTTAAGCATTCCGGCTGATAATGAAGTGTGCACCTTTCCGCGATGAGATTTCAGTTGAATCGGACGAATCGGAAGAGGAATCTAAACGAGAGGAGTCTGCTTGTAGTAAGTATTTAAAAATGGAAATCATCGAAATTATATTTTGTACAGACCATTTATAAACCGGGGCCACAGGGGCTCGGTGATTAAGTCGCTGACTCATTAACCAGCAGGTCCGGGTTCGATCCCGGTGTTGGGTGAGAAATTTCCATGTAGGATTTATAAGTGGTGTAGCATGGATAGTGTGACAAAGAAGACTCGCTCCCGGTGTTGGTCGAGAACGTTCGTCGAGATTTTCCGGTGGGGTTTCCCCTTGTCATTGCAGGACGTAAAAGATCCCATGGCAGTTTGAATTCGATATAAAAATAGACCGTAGCGCCGCTGTCCGGGCAAAATTGCTTATAGCATATTGCATGACGTATGCCCGTTTTCATTAGCCCAGTCAGAGCAGAACATTTTATTTGGTTAATCGCGGTGGCGAACAAATTGGTTATTAGTATTGAAAAGTTCATGAATAAATGTATACGTCAATGTTTGATGGGTCGTCCAAACCCAAATAATATGACACATGGTGGGGCTTATAAACATTAAGATGGGATTGTTTCCATGGACGACTTTGATGTAAAAGGACCCAGACACGTACTTTTAAATCTGATAAAACACAGATCCTATTCGTTCCGTTTTTTTATAGTTCAAAATTTCGTTTTACTTGTCTTCACAGCACTAGAATCTGGAAGAGTTGTTATATAACAGGCGTTCTGTCTGATGTGAGGAATTAGTCAATGAACCGGCCTGTTACGGTGACTTCTTGGCGCGCCGTGCATGGAACTGTTGTTAAACCACTAGAAACGTCAACGCTGGTTGATTAATCAATGCCTGACGTCATAGGGTGAAAAGACGCTCGTATGACTCCTGAAACGAACTCGCACTACAGTCAGATCTTCGTGTGGTAGAGGCCGTCAAAAGTACAAAAAACGAAACGAAATATAGATCTGTATTTTAATCGGATCGGGGTGAGATGTTTGTAATCTATAAACGTAATGTCTAACACATTCGAACCATGTATGTTTTTTGATTAAATATTGGACCGCTTTGAGAGGATCACGGTGGCTAAGTGGGTAAGGCATTGGCTCGCTAGCCTGGAGGTCGGGTGTTCGATCACTGCATTGGCCGAGAAAGTTCATCCAGATTTTCCGGCGTGGTTCTCCCTTGTCAGTGATGCGGGACGGAGGGGCTGACAAGGACAGCTGTCTAGTTGTTCGGATGGGACGGAAAACCGAGGTCCCGTGTACACATTGGCGTGCACGTAAAAGATCCCTTGACAGTTGGAATTCGATATAAGAGTAGGCCGTAGTGCCGCTGTCCGGGCAAAATTTCCCTCATAGCACACTGTATGGCGTATGCCCGTCTTCATTAGCCCAGTTCGGAGCAAAACAGAAGGACGTTAAACCCCATTTCATTTCATTTCATTTTTGAACAGCTTTGAGATAGCAATAATGCAGAATAAATGTTCGCATTGTTTTAAAAACAGTACATTTGTTAAACTAAACATACATTATGACGTCACATTAATAATGATGTCATAGGCCTGAAATGTTATATATTATATATAAACTATTGAATAGACATTATTAACAAATCAAGAGCATAATCGACTCTCGATGGCATCGGATACTCGAGATTTTAACTTGATTAAAACGGTTCGCCATTTAACAATTTAATTTAAAAATGGGAAAGCGAGGCTAAGCCCCGATTATATCAGTGCCCTGGTTATCACTGTGCATACATCTTGTCAAAACCATAGGCGTACGGGGAAATTTTTGACTGGGGGGGGGGGGCGGTGGTGGTTGGTGCCCCCAAAATGTAGTTAGGTTCTTAGTATGTTACATAATAATAATAATATCTCTTTTGCGATGAATAAGTTCTTAATTTCTAAATCATCAATAAAAGAGAACTAAATTTTATTAACTTGTAATATACACAACTAAAAACAGTTGTTTATGTAACTGTAACTCGTGGCTTACTGTACTCCAAACAATAGAGGGTATGAGTCTTCAGATTTCTATTTAATTGCCTAACTATAGACACTCTGAATTTAAATTCGATGTTAAATTGGACACATTCAAGAACACACTATTTTTTATACAACTTTTACAAAGTACAATTGTGTGCGCCTATGGACAAACAATGATAATTTGGCTGAGAATGAAGTAAATCAAGGGGTTTCCACATTTTGCTCCATCTGTCTAAGATACAAGAATTAACATTGTGAATGGGGAAATCTTTAGTGGTCTGTGACCAAATAAATAAAACTGTGCTAACAAAATGAAACTAGATTTGCCATGGCTAGATCTTATTCTTAAGGTCAACTCAATTCTCGTGGATGTCGCTGAGATGTAATAAGTAGAGCGTGTGATTGTTGGTTAGGGTTAGATTAAGTATTAGGGCTAGGTCCAGGGTAAGGGTTAGGGTTGAGATTAGCGTTAACCCTGTTTACATCTCGTGACCTTTTGCCAAACTTGAAGTTGTCCTTATTAATTAGATTTAACCCTTTGTGCCTATTTTCCTATAAATTTTACTCGAAACGAAATATAATTTTATATACTTAATGTTGCAGTGTTTTCGGCAATATGTCCTTCCGGCACATTTAACCAAATGTGAATATTTTTGGGCATGGTAGGCCAACATTAGATAACTACAATGACTTAATATTGAAAATAACTGAAAAATAGATAAATTTCGTTTCGTGTGAAATTCTGTGTTTCAAATTTGAATTTGCTAGAGTTCAAAAGGTCAATTTCTGTTTATCGGTTTGCAGTAGAGTTTTTGGAAATTTCGTTAATAAAAAATCAACAGTAAAAAAATATTTTGAGAAAAAAAAATAAATATGATATGTAAGTTTAACGTGTTACTAGTGCAGGTAACTGAAAATTACGAATTTTGCCGTCAACTGAAAGAAGCAAAGCAGTTGTCAACATTTGGCTGCGTCGAGTTGTTTTGTTTAGATTTTGAGCGGATACTAAATCACCGGAATTCACTTTGCAAATATCAAAATTTGACCCCAAGGCCTACCTCTGTACATATATTTTGCATTAATATTAATAATAAATAACTTAAAAACACCGATGATCACCGGAATTTACTTTTAAAAACATATAAACACCGGAATTCACTTTCAAAATATCAGAATTCGCCCGCAATCCCTTCCCTGTTTACATATATTTTGCATAATTAATATTAATAATGAATTTCCTTAAATACACCAAAAATGACTACTACATACGCCTTTTAGATTTAATTTGGCTCTTTGTAAATTTCACATAATTGTTCATTTCGGGACTAACACTTGGTTCAATTATATTTCAATAATTCACATGCGCGTATGGATTTTTTGGAGAGGGGGCAGAGGAATCGGCTTACACTACATGAAGATCTGACCAGTTGTACTGGGAGGTCATGTCAGGTGTCATACAAACGGCTTTTGACCCTATGAAAGACATTGATTAATCAATCAGCTTTAACCTTTCTAGGGGTTTACCCACAGTTCCGTGAAGATCACGCCAAGAACTCGCCGTAACAGACCGTTTCATTAGCTAATTTCTCACATCAACTAGAACGCCTGTTACATAACAACTCTTCCAGTGTAGTAAAGAAAAGAAAACAAAATTTTGTACTATTAAAAAACATGAAACGAAATATGATTTATAAAGAGCCGTTAATACCTTCAATGTGCCTAAATATTTCATGTAGCATATAGTCGATCATGACTCGTACTGGCTTTATATAACTTTTGGGAAATATTCCCCCTTATTCTTAGTTTGTTTTTTAAACGCCTACATTGAAATGTGGTCATATATTCAATTGTGTCACCCCGTCTGTCCGCCCATTCGTCGGTGCGGCGTCCACAATTGCTTATGGACGCTCTAGAGGCCAAAGTAAATATCCGATTGACATTAAATTTATACACATTGTTTAAGGTCATGAGACAAAGAAGCCGAATAATTTTCAGCAATTTCTGATTATTACTGCCAGAGTTATGGCCCTTGATCACTTCAAAATATCTTGTGGATGCTCTAGAAGCTAAAGATGATATCCGATTGACTTTAAATTTATACAGTGATTGAGGTCATGAGACGATGAATCCTATTGATTTTCAACGATTTCTGATAATTACTGCCGAAGTTATGACCCTTGATCACTTTGAAAAATCTTGTGACTGTCTAGAGGCTAAAGTTATCATCGGATTGGCTTCAGTTTAAAGTCTTGAGATGAACAAGTACATGTATATTGATTTTCAATGAATTTTGATAACTTGAACAGCTAAATCCATGGTATTAAATGTTTTGTATACTAAATGTTAGCATGGGGCAGAACTTTATACAAACCAAACAAATTCTAATGATTTTCTGATAATCGGATATTAGTGTATTATAATTGTTTCATTACTAAAAAAAGTAAAAATTGCGACAACTCTAGTTGACTGCCCGGACGATTTAGATGCTGTGGGCGTGTGTTTCGTTGCCTGGCAACCTATCTTTTTCATATTGAGTGAAGTCTGTTGTCTGTATCACTACAGTCCAGAGACTGTACAGGGGAGTTGGATGGCCGAACAGTTAACGTGTGCGTGTTGTATCATAAGGTCTGTCATTGAGTCAAGTGGTGTGGTTTCGAGTCCCCAGTTGTACGTGACAAGGAGTAGGGTCGCCCGCCAACCATCGGTGGTTTTCTCCGAGTCCTCTGATTTCCTCCCACTGCTAAAGACCCCTACGTGCAAGCGAATTATTGAAATATAATGGAACCATATGTTAGTCCCCAAATGACCTAGTGAGTGGACGTTAAACCCTCTCTCTCTCTCTCTCTCTCTCTCTCTCTCTCTCTCTCTCTTTCTCCCACCTCCTGAATCCATTCAATTGGTCTGATATGTACTTTTGTTGTAAATTGTGATTTCTGTGTCTTGTGTGTGGTGCAGTAGCAGATATTGGACAAGGCCAGTCGATTTACACTGGCCCAGAAAGTTCACATGGATTTTCCGCAGGGGTTCCCCCTAGTCACTGGTGCAGAATGGGGACGGGGAGCCTATAAAAACAACACTTGTCAGTCTGATTCCAAATCTTTTACGTGCACGCCAATTTGTACACAGGACCTCGGTTTTTCGTCCCATCCGAACGACTAGACAGCTGTCCTTGTCAGCACCCCCCCCCCACCGTCCTGCACCACTGACAAGGGGAAACCACGCCGGAAAATCTTTATGAACTTTCTCGGCCAATGCAGGGGTGGTGAAGTTGAAGGTAGACAAGTGAAATGATATGAAATAAGGTTTAACGTCCTACTGTTCTGCACCGACTGGGCTAATGAAGACGGGAATATACGACAAACAGTGTGTTATAAGTGAAATTTTGCCCGTACAGCAGAACTGACTCTTATTTCGAATTCCTATTGTCATGGAATCTTTTAAATGCCCGACAACGTGAACACAGGGCCTAGGTTTTTTCTTCCCATCCGAACGACTAGACAGCTGTCCTTGTCAGGTAACCTGTTATGGACCACTGACAAGGGGGTGGGGGGCACATCGGACACTTTATGAAAATGCACTAAAATTCCAACCGAGAAGCCGTGTGTTGATCTAAAGGCTATAACAGTCCGTTCAGGAGGACAATACTACACACAATTACAACCAATAAGACAAACCTGTTGACAAGACAAAAACACACAGACATTGCAAGATATAAACAGCAAAATGAATACAAGACGTAATAGAAATAATACAACCCAAACCCCCCGCGACATTTGGGAGAGTAATCTCTCCACTAAACGCCCGCTTCCACGGTGAGGATATGAAAATATTTTTGTCCGTCCCGTTGGTATTAACTTTGATCTGTCTTGACCGAACCACAAAAATGATTGGAATGTATATTTAACGCTTCGTCAACACAACACAATACTTACGGAATTTTTCTGTTGGCAACGTTGTTATACTAATGAGAAGAATTTTGCCCGGACAGTGGCGTTTCATCGAATTTCTTTTACGTACACGCCTCACACGTGCTACC